GACTGATGCAAGTGGCCTTGTGTGACCGATTCTGGATCTGAAGTAACCTCCCCAGAGGAGCTGTGCTGAGGGCAGAGCTCAGCAAGCCCACATCACCCAGCAGCTGTAAGGAGCCGGAAGGGCCTTGTGAGCAATGTGATGCTGGCACCAGAGCGGAACGAGCCAGGGACTGCCTAGAGATGCTGGCCAGCAGAAGATCAGGCCCAGGGAGCATATGGACTGCAGGCTGAACCGTTTCATCCCGAGCATTAATAATGGACCAAAAGCTGTACTTAATAATTGTGCCGAATCCTAATGCCCTCATCTAAGGGCCCTGGGATTTTGATGGAGGATCAGCTGGCACGGAAGATAACAACAGCACAAAACAAAGCACTAAGCCGAGGCAGCGGATCAATGGCCCGCCATGCCGACACCTCGCTCCCCTTCGGAGCTTTCTCCGGACTCCTTCCTCCTGCAGCACTCTCAAGGAGAAGTGATTTAAAAATCCCTTCGCTTATCTCATCCATCTTCCCTGTGAGATGTCTGCTTGCCTAGGTCAAGGCTCAAGTAGGGTAGGAATGGACACGAAGAATTAGGAGACAAGCGTGGAATTGCTGGCGGATGGAGAAAGGCTTCCTGAACACAGGAATATTCCTGCACACGCAGATTTTGGGACGCACACATGGGCTTATAAAGGCCACGGTCACCTCAAGTGATCACACATCCATCAATTTGGTTTTGTTGCTTTTCCTATGGAAATAAACAAGCTTCCCCTAAGAAAGACAAGACAAAATGACACGGTCCTGTCCTTGACATTGCTAATCACAGCAGATGTACCTAACTGGCAGCCCGTACGTATTTATTTACTTATGGAGAGAGAAAATGCTTGAAGAAATCCAAATGCTGATAAGATGATGAGAGGTTTGTATGCTGGCTATGGTCTCACTTTCGCTTATCCTGAGTGAATACAAGTTTCTATAACTAAATATTTCCCTTAGGGTACTGATGTCTGAGGTATGTTTATTGCATTGAGTGAATTTATATATATAATCAGCACAATAAACATTATTAAATTGTCTGAGTAAAATCAAAGCATGAAACACGCAGTCAGTGCTGAATTCTAATGATGCTGAATGCCCATGATTGCATGGGGAAAGGATCTTAACAAGCCTTGATTTGAGCTTTGGCATCCGCCTCACAAATCACACGAAATGTTCTCTCTTTAATAGTGCTGAATATTGATAAATGTCTCCGCACGGCACAACAGGGAAGTTGGTCTCTATTGGCAATCTTTACCAAAGTGTGTTTTTTCCTTCTCTACACTCAAGGGTTTACCCTGAATGATTTAATTATAATTTTCCTTGTGTAAGACAAATTAAAGAGGAGAGTAGGAGTGTCATGCCAAAGCAGATTATTTATCTCCTTAACAGATTGCTATGCACCAAACCCCAGAGCTGCTGCTGCCGCTACTTACAGGAACTGGGCGAAATGTGGGGCAAAAGCAGAGATGTAATATACATTTAAAACCCAAATGAATGAAAGCATTAACCCATGATTTCTAGCTGGAATTATTTCATGTGAAAGCCACATACACAGAACGCATACACGCAACCCATGAGTAGCACCATGCAAACCAGCCATGCAAACAAGCAGAGGCTGCCTTTTGCTTTCAAGCATTGTGCTGCCCTGCAGTATGGCCATGTCCCAGGGTGACTTCTGCCAACCTCCTGCTCTCAGCTTCTTGCCATACAGGGGAACTTCACATCTCCTAGCTCTGAGGACTGCAGGTGACAGCAGAGCTGCATGGGACCAAAGCTTCACCCTGCACAACAGTGGCACTGGGCTGGTGTGGCACAGCAACGTGTGGGCATGCCAAGCAGCTGATTACTGAGGTTCCCCTGCTATCTTAAAACTTATTTATGGCAAAAATGTGCTTTTACACCCAACATGTTCAGCTGAGTTCCTGCCTGCTGATGACTTTCACGCAGGTACTTCTGCTGCCACTGCAGTCAGACAAGCGCCTCCTGCTTCCCAGGGCTCACAATCTGAACCAGTGGGATCAGGAACCTCATAAAACACAGCCGGAACTAACCCAGCAATGACAGCAACGACACTAACTCCCACATTACCAACTTGCCTCCTGCAGCCTACTCCTTCTCAAAAGCCCAAGAGGGTGGGGGGAAACAGCTTTACAGCACACCCTAAAAGTTAATGTTACCTGTATATGATTATTTATGGCTGCCGGGCAGTCGTTATGATGTGGCTGTGGTTAACTGTTAGGACACTTACAGATTTTACTATGTGCTTTTTATTGTTGTTTAAATCCAAATAAATAGCTCTTGGTTCTATCAGATGGGAGCTAACAGCTGACTCCGCTGGTGCTACATAAGCAACAGAGACATCCACACCACTCCTCTGCCCCACAGTGATGCTGGGGTGAGTTAAGTCACAGTGAGTCCCCTGATGCAGGGCAGCAGCACGACACACATCTCACAAAATGCTACAAAAGTGAGCAAGTTGTGGCGCTCAGCAGGTGCCCAAGCCTGCTGTACCTGCCTCTCCATCATGGGGTGATGGATAAGGAAGCTGGCTCATTAGGAAGGAGGTAAGGGAAGTGGCAAACTCAAAACCGACAGCCACCCTTGACCCAACGGTGGGCTGGGGTCTGCTGTACGTGCAGCTCGGCCATTTTGTTGAACTAGCTGGGCACTGGAATCAGCACACATTTGCCTGCAAGCCTAGCCAAGCCACGCTCCCACCAGATCCACTGTTATTTCCAGCCTTAATCTCTGCAATCAGAAGGTAACCAAAGCTCTGCCTGGGCCTATGCTCCCTTTTGTAACTCAGCTAAAACTTCACCTCCTGAGGGCTTTCAATACTGCAATTCACCTGCGCTTCTCTCCCTGCACACTTGCCACCTCAAATGCCTTGCCTGTACATAAAATACCCCTTTGGAAAGAAACACATCTAAACCACAAGGCGTTTCTCCTGCATCACATGAAATGCAGGCAGGCACCACAGGGCCTGGTGAGACTGCAACACAACCCGTAAGTGCATCAGTAGGCATTCTTCTGCCTGGAGTCTCCTGCTCTACTTATGGATAAAGATGTAATTCAATCACTGCAGCAAATGGATGGCGTAAACCCTCAGTGTACCAAGCAGAGGCAAGATAAAGCAAAGTCTGCAGCCCTCTTATTCGTACTCCTAAATATACCTATTTTTTACTTTGATATTGAAGAGAACTCAACAGAAATGTAAGTTAAGTATAATGACAAGCTTTAACAATGCATCTATCAATTCAACAACAGAAGATCTTAAGTCTTCTAACCTCATTCAGTCTCAAACAATATTGTGGCATGTTTATGCATTCCTAGCTCATTTAGTCGGAACTTTACTAATAAAAACATATGTATCTCCCTGTTTGTAGATCCCAATTGCCTCCAGGCCACAATTACACAACAGCACTCAAACACATGGATGTTCAGTTTTGCATGATAGTGTATATGAGAAATTTTTTATTTCAGAGTAGATTCATGCATTTCCTCTGCATTTCAAACTACACAGCAATGGTGTTTGTTTCCTCAGCGAGGCTGTCATTAGCAGACAACACATACATCCATCCATTGCAAGAACATCCACTTCACTGCATGGGGTTTTTCTTTACAAACTAGGAAAAACTAGGTTAAAAATCTACTGAAGAGTCATAAAACCCATCTTCTTCAGCTCTGCATGCAGCAAAAAGGGAACTTAACTGTTTAATAAACATCAATTGGTTTTTAGCATCCCACGTCAGTCTTCACCAAAACCACATCCTTGACACTTGCATGCATTATAAATGTATGCACCAACATTCTGCCACGTCCTTGCAACAGATAGAAAAAGATGCCTTACACACACAGCACTTCTTCTGAGCACTGTGTGTGTTCTTCTTTAAAGCCTGTCTATTCCCAACAGCACTATTTTCTTAATATTAGAAAGATATAAGAGGTATTTATACAGCTTCCCTATCAATCCACTTTCAGGCCACCAGAAATATAAACTCTATGGCTTAAAAATTCCATTATCCTCTTTCTAATGAAAGAAAGGAGGATGGAAAGACAAAGCCATCAGTTTCCATAAAGCCCAGCTTTCACTAGTGTCTGATGTAACATTTCTAGATGGGTGAAGGGACTCTCCTGAATGCAAAGAAGCCCAGTGAGGATGCTCACATGATCCCTGAGACCCCTCTCCTCCAACACAGTGTCGGCATCGCTGCTGCCTGCAGCCCTGCTGCCCAGGCCCGTCTACCTCACCGCAAGCAAAAGTTATGTTGTTAGACACGCCTCAGTGAAATCTGGGGGTGTAAAGAAACAAACCTGCAATAAAGCATCCTTGGGAATAAAGCAGAGCCCGTGCTGAGAAGCACGTCAACAGACAACCCTTGATTTAAGCCATTTCTTCTAACAATGCAAGCCTAGCACGTATAAATTAACTCACACTTCTAAAAGCCAAACAACACCAGTTAGCTAATTTTATCAGCACTTAAAAAATGCACTTTGTTTTAGGAAAACCTAGTGAACTCAAGTCCAGCCTGCTTTGCGAAAGCAAGTAAATACAGAGAAGAAAGGCAAATGTCTTAAATGAGCTGGGCACTGAAATTTGGCAGAGAAGTGGATGACGTGTGGCACAACAGCCTGTAGTGACCAACTGATTTCTTCTCACCTCCCATCTGCAAACCCAAAGCACCTCAAGAGTGACACCACCAGTGATGCAAGAAAGCAGCTACTCTTTTCACACTTCCCCCCACTTCTCCAATGCTCTTTTAATTAGCTAATTGTGCCCACATTGATCCAATTAACAAGCCACAAAGACCTGAACAAAAGGAGCATGCTCTGCCCAGCGGAGACTCCATTCAACCACACCAAAATCAGACGCGGAGGACAAAATCGAGGCCAAAGCAGTTGGCCACTGTTCCCAGCAACTCTGCCCTGATCTGGGGCACACCGAGACGCGAGGATGGATGGAACTCTGCTGGCACCTACCTCTCCCGCTTAGGAGTGTGAACCGATAGCTGTCCGTTGGTTGACGCGTGTGGGTTTATTATTAAGGAGGTCTTAGACGGTGCGGATGAGGAAACGCAGGTGGTGGACAGGTCGAGGCTGCTGTGGTTGTTGCTGGCTGCCTCCTCGGCTGTGTGCGAGCTTGTCACTTCCTTCCAGAGCTGCTGCAGTTCTGTTGGAATCATGCCTGAAACAAACAAATTGGATAATTAAATCAATTAACAGCTAATTCGGCCGTCTTCAAACAGTAATTAAATCAAAGAGTCAGTAAACAAAGCCTAGTGTTAGTTTTGTGTGTGTGTGTGTTTGCACGCATGTAATTTTTTTTATTAACTAAAGGCTAATCCTGAACACTGCACATCTCCTGCTGTGTTTTGTGGGGTACTACCTGCAACACCTTTCCAAGGCAAAATCTGGGGCTGGGGGAAGGAGACCCACACCACACAACACCCCCATCAGCAGCTGAGTTATTATTATATTCTGTCCGTTTTGGAGCAGGGGGCTCAGTCCCCACTCAGGCAGAAATCCCCAAGATCAAACCAAGGGCGGCTGAGGGCTGCTCCTCATTTCAGCTTGTTTTCTATTGTTCTAAGGAAAGTAAATACTGTCTAACCTGTTTTTAAAAGGAAGGGAGATCTGAGGGAAAAAAAACCCTCAGCTTTATTATTATGACAACATGAACCACAATATGACTAATTTTGTGCTTAAGTTTTAAATGATGACAAATAGCTTTGTTATTAAATACAGTTTTTATTAATCACTTTTAGACATAAATTATGAATTCATATTGTCTTCCTGAAATGCTTTTCAAATTTTAACAGTCAAATTGATTATACTATGATTATTTCATTAACACACCTATCTTTCTCATTAATTTTGGTTTCTCAAACTGCTCACTTAATTGATGGATGTGTCTACTGAAAAACTGTATAACTTTCTATACAAGTAACACTATTATTACTGTCATTTCTTAGATCAATGCTAATGAGCCATTCAAAAGTAAAACGAAAACATAAAATAAGCTTCAAGAAATAAATAAAAAAAATTGTTTTCTATTGTGCCAAAATGGACACCAGGCTCGGGACATGCGCATAGCCTTCAGCAGACAGGGCGAGTGAGAACTCTGCCAACTCCAGTGGGCTTAAACTGGGGCCTGGAGCACAGGGACACACACGTCAGCATGGCATGGGCTCCCACTGAGATCATGGGTTTGGATACAGCTTACGTTTGTGACACGATCAGACAAGTCGGGTTCTCAAAGTGAAGACTATTTCAGTGCTCTTTCAGAAGGCTATGGGAAAAAATGAGCAGCAGAGACGCATCACTTAAATATTCAGACCAAAAGAAATAATAAAAGTCCGCATGTTTTTAAAGAGGTCTCATCAGCGTGCGTCGAGATGGTTTGGCTGACTGCTCATTGTTTGGGCATGCTGTGGCACTGGAGCAATCCTAAGGAAATCTGCCATTTTCTGAGTATACGGCAGCAGCTCAAATAGCCACACATCTCACCAAACCTAAGGAACTGAAATAGGATAAAAAAAAAAAAAAAAAAAAGCAGTATGCATTATATTCATTTGAAACACATAATAAAAAATGCCAAGGTCTAAATTTAATTTATTTTTGTCATTTAGAATACAATGGATAGATAATCATCTCAACGTGATCAGCCAAACATCTTTACTTTGCTAAACTGTTAAAGATTTTAATTATGCTAGCTTTGGAGAGCACTGGTCTAATGAGGCGATAGACTCCAGAGAATCTAAGTGGTTAAGAACTGTGAAATGAGTCTGATAGGATTTTTTTATATTCACCGTGGATCGTTTGCATATCAAAGAGGAGTAAATTATTGCACGACAGACCAATAACCTTCCCCGCCTTTCTGAGAGTAGCATTAACAAAAACAGTTGGTCTCCGGTAACGGTTCACTACAAAAAAACGCTAAAATCCTTAAGTATCTGCAATTAATATATATTATAAAAGAGGCTTCAATTTATACATTAAGTGATCAGATATTCTTAGGACACATCCGTTTCTCCAAAGCCACGTCATTTTCCTTTCATAAGAACCAGACGCCAATTACATTTTGATGGATTTTGTCCCAAATGAGCATTTAGTTATTAGACGTATTCAATTATTACTTGTCCCCTGAAATTAAACCTCCGAGCAAATTAAACAAAGAGAAAGGTCAGTACACAAGCCTATGTCCTGTTTTGCTCTATCTGGGCTATTATTTTCAAACACCTTGCAAAGTGACAGTGTGGGATGTATTTTTAGCTAACATGCTTGACAGGACTGTCTGCGCACTAACAATTACCTGCGAGCGCGGCTGACCCTTACACCACTGTTTACTCAACTGAAACAATAGTGAATAGACTTGTCTGTTGATGATAACATATTGATATGAGACCGTATGAGTCGACACCTATTTTTATTTTCGGGAATAAGCAAATAAGGCGGTCATTCTTTGCCTTTTTCCCCACTCCCCACGCACCCCCTCTCTGGATCTGTGGATAAGTCTTTCATTAATTGAAGGTGTAGCACTTCTCTCCTTCCTTCACCTCTGCTTCTCCTTTCCCCTTTCCTTTCCCTCCCAGTCACTACTGGATCGACTCATGCTTCATCTCCAGGACAAGCCTGCAAGTTATACAGCACTTAAAATACAAACATCTAATATTCATAGCTTTCTATAGAGCCTGGGAAAGTCAAGGGGTTTGTTCTGACTTCCTATACAAGTGTAACTCCTTTTAGCAATAATGAGAGCAGCATATATTGAAGGAGAAATAGAAAACAACCCATTTGGGCAGAAAAAAATGACAGAGATAGTAAGATGGATTTCAGTGTGGATGATATTAGAGAAGAGTTAGGTGTGACGTCAAACTCGCCTCTCACAACCCATCATTCAGAACTGAGTTCACCACTGGTATCACTTTATTAATTAAAAAACAAGAAGTAATTTTTAAAAAGCCTCCCTCCTCTTTCCTCAAACTTCTGAGAAGCATTGCTAACCAGCCTGTTGAACTGGGCAGCTGAAAGGTATCCTTACTACTCATCCAGGAAAATGGTTAAATGAAATAATAGAACGAGTGGTAAAAGCAAGCCAAACAAATCCAACAAAGCACACACAATAAATGACATAATTTACCATTAAACAGTTTCACTTTAATAGCAAGAACTAAATTTTATGTCAGATTCCCAGAAGTGCACTGCAGTTACCCGAGATCACTCTTGCTTGTGCCCCAGCTCAGTTCCTACCAGTGCCAGGATGCAGACCTGGAACTGCTGGATCCATGGGAGCAATCAGCACTGGGATGTCTCAGTCCTATTATTTTCACTCACTCGTGATCTGAGGTGTGATTTGCAGTTTCATTTTACAGATACTGAAGATCGAGCTCTCGCAGCTCAGAGCACTGCTGAAATGCGGTTTGTTTTTAAATTGCTACTATGCAGAGATGTAAAATCTAGATTATAGGTGTGTCTAAACACAGAACAGCAAAAACTGCACAAATATAACATTAAAGAATATGCTATTTTGCATAAGACAATAGGTGAACACACCAACTAAAATGCAGCTATGAACGATGTATTAGTTCTAAAAACAGAACAAAAATCACTTATGAAGTAGCATTCTCTCTTAACATTTATTCCTATTACAGATACTTAGGAATAAAAAGCAAGATGCTCTTAACTAAATTCATAGCTACATTAACTAGAGGGCTGGATTTTCCTTTTTATATGCACGCTTGCAGTATCTGTCTTACTCTTGCCCACTGTTCTGAAAACAAAAAGGGATGGTATATTTTTTTTTAAATACAAAGTGTCCATTACCAATTATTTTAAACTATAGCCCTGGCTCCTCATTGCATTTTTCAGGACAACCAGTCCCCTTCATTATGAAACAAAATGTAGGCACAGGTTTAAAAAATGTATGTTGTGGGGACAGTTGACAGATTACTGCTCACAGAACTCAATTTCCCAACCCCAGGTATCACCGGCTCAAAGACAAACAGAGTTGCTCAACCTCTTTGTGTCCTTGTACCTCCATACCCAGGTGACCATGTTCAAGCAAGCAGAAAGTTGATTTAAACCTCGTAATGACATCAGTTTTAAGCCATCGTCTCCCTGATAAAAAAGAATCGTGCTGGATTGCAAGCTGCCTGAATCCTCCAGTTCCTCCCCAGCCAGCGCCGCGCCCCACAGCTCACCTCCCTGCACTGAGCAGCCCTCCCAGCCCTCCTGTTTGTGTTTGTGTTGTTCTGGCACCCCTTGGCTATAAACAGGCTTCTTCCCAACGCGGCGAGGACTAATAGTGGCACTTGGCTGCTAACCGTATCAATCAATGCCACGACTGCTGAATTACCTACTGGTGTCTCCGATGTGTTACTGCACAGATTACACTTCATGCATCACCACATTCATTTCTTTCACATTACACATGAGCGTGTCTTGTCACTGCCCAATTGCCCTCCTTTGGACAGCTTAACTGATGTACCACACAATGAACCTTACTGAGCAAACTTAATAGTATAGGAGCTGTGGGAAAAATTAGAAAGGTTGAAGCTGGAGTCCAGTAGGCGTGTGGGAACAGCTTGTGGTGTTTCCAACAATAAATCCAAAACGTAATTAATGCGTGTTACAACATTCTGCACACATAAGTGGCACTTGTCTACCTGCCATTTTCCCAAACTCATCTCAGCACACTGATGGTGACTGACAAACTCCCGTCCCAGGCCAGAAGCTGCTGCTACATCAGCTAGGAGCACACCAGGGGTCTGAGCCTGGGAGTGCAGGTTCCCCATGACAGGGTTAGGGGCTCCAACTTTGTGGGTCATGCAAAAATGTAAAACAAGCCTCAGTAAACCACACCAGCCACTTGGCAGAGCAGTCCCCACTCGCCAGCCTTCTCTCCCTCTATCCATGTCAGTTAACATTTACCAGCTATCTTGCTCTCCTTTTAGCAGCTCTAATACACATAAAAAAGGAGGGCGAAGAACAGAAGCAATTTCACCCCCAACCCCATTTAACCAAACAGAGCTGAATGTAAATACATTATATGGTTTAGCAACCAGTAGCAGCCCTAAGGCTGCTTTGAAGAGCCCAAATCATTTCAAGCTGAGCTGACTCCAGTTGTTGAGGTGGGTGTTTAAATTTATTATGGGGCAAAGGGAAGGAAAAGGCACAGCTATTCAGAAATATCCGCATCTTGGCTGAAAGACCTGGTCCTCCCTGAGCCATGCCAACTCTGAGCCACCAGCTTCAGTGACAACAGAAAGAGCTCAAGCACGTCTGTTAAAATGCCCCAAAGCTCACAGAGAAACTGAGTTGGAATATAAATAAATAAATAAATAAATAAATATAACCGTGGAGAAAAAAAGAAAGAATAAGAAAAATCCAGGTTGTAATTACTGTCAAAAGTATTGTGATTTAAGTAGCTATTGCTTTCAATGTATCAATATCTTAAAAAAATAGGGATTTCAGCAAATCGGTGAATTCTTACATAGTGCAGGACTGAATAAAGACGTAGGAGGATCTAATTGTCAGTAACACCAGTATAACAACATTTAAATTAAATGGAGTCAATCCCAATTTACCACTGTGTGGAGGGAAGAATGAAGCTATGATGTACACAGGCAGTGAATGGAAGGACACATAAGCATGCATGAAGAGGAGACACTGTCACATTCCCCTTCCAGCTGCAGAAAAGGACAATCCCATTTCCACACTCAGCAGCGTGTGGTCAGCACCGTTTTGTGCCCAGCTCTGCACCAGCCATGAGGCCAGAAAGGGCCAAGACAGCACTTTACAAAGAAGTGAAGGGAAAGCTGCTCTCAAGCCATCCTAAGCCATGAACCCAGCTCCAAAATTTTATTAGGAAGCCTCCCGTGGAGGATTTTGAGTCCAGAACAGTACAACCAGCAGCTTCAAGTTCACCAGGATATAGCTGTGCAAAACGAATCCAAACTAAACCGCCTGCCTCCTGCTAGCAAGCATGGCCCACAATTTCAGTGCTGCCCTTCTCAAGAATACCTCTACAATGCCCACCCTGCCAGTCAGGATTTTTCTTTGTTTCTTATTTTACGAGCCTATGAGATCACGCTCTGGCTTACTGAGTGACAATTTGGTGTGCACATGCTATCTGCTTGCTCAGCAGCTCCCCAACCCCTCACCTACCTTGTGCAAGGGGCTGCAAAGGCAGAGTAGGCTGGCCAGGCTGGATTGTTAGCAGCCCTTGACGCTGCAAAGTCAGGAGGTGCTGCTGTTGCAACTGCTGCATCTGTAAGAGTTGCTGCTGAAAGGCCAACTGCTGCGTAGCCACCTGCTGTTGCTGGGGCTGGAAAAGAAAAAAAAAAATGCACATCTGTCAACAAAGAGGAAAGCATTAACAGGGATCCTTGGCTAAACACACAGCAACTTCTGATCGTAGTCACTTGGTACTGAGAAATGACTGTGAGCCCACCACCCAGTACCAAAGCTTGCTTAAGTGCTGGTGCTACCACCAGGGCTGCAGTCAATTTCTAATCTCTCCTACAAACCCAATTAAAAACACATGCAGCATTTCTTGGTCCACACAACTGAGCTTTACCCCAGAAGCGGCTGCCTTTCGGTGTCAGACAAAGCAAAACTCCACTGGCAGCTGCTAAAATCATGGGCAATTCTTCAAAGCAAAGAACACATGCAATGCAAGAGCCACCCCACGTAACCACATTACACTTGGACGTCACCACCACCAACCCTGTACTCTGCTCTGTTTGCTCATGCAAGGGTCATCTCAGCGATTAAGGCAACACGACTGGCTACATTTATGCTATACTATACTCTCTCTCTCTTATCCATCCATCAAGCAACAATACCATTATGTTCAGAATTATTCCTTGCTGTATTTAAGGCTGCTACTTCTGCGCTTTGAAATTTTTAATTATTTTCACTATAAAGAAGACAGAGCTGCTTTACTCCACAGGGACACGAACCTTGAACCTTCAAGGTGTAAAAGAACATGTTGCTTTTCTCACTACTGTACCCAGAGAAGCTTTTAACTACTCTGTTTATCACTTCTGACATAAATAAATGAGAAAAAATCAGACCTTTGAAGAAGAAAAACTTCATCTAATATTGTTAATTAGCCATGACAAACGATGAAATAACATTGTAAATCTTTCATAGAAACAGCCACTAGATTTTAATTACACACATTCATAATTTAGCAAACAACATCTTACTTGAATGTGAGTGTTTAATATGTACAGTACTCCAGGCTTCTGAGTCCTTAATTTTGTGCAGTTAAGCAAGCCTCTAGGTTTTGCTTCCGTGCTCATCTTGTGTTTTATTTGCTTTGTTCTTAAAATCCATGAAAGGCTTTGCGTTTTGATAAATATCTTTTTATTTATTGTACAATGACAGGAGGAAAACTTTTGTTGTGTAAAACATCAATACATCATGCCAGTGTTTAGCAGTTCCTTGTGCTAGCCAAAAAAAAATTAATGTAGATTTCCTTAGTAATTATCTGAGTGATAGAAAGATAATACAGTGCAGTAGTACAATAAATAGAAGGAAATTATCTAATATCCCTAATCTGCTAGGAATCATATCAAGGTGGAGGTCTTATACACATTATGGCTAACAATTACGGAAAGAAAATTAACTCTTGCAAAACTCCACACTTTCTCAAATAAACCCTGGCCACATCGAGAGCACTTTGCTGCCCTTCCCCGCTATCACTGCAGAGGATCGCTGGCCCCGTTCCCTGCTGGTGTCAAGCAGGAAACATCCACCCGGGTCAGAGGAGCGGGGCTGACGGCCACCAGCCAGGGGCCGGGGCCCCACCTTCTGCCAAGGCACTGCAGCCCCGGCCTGCCACGCTGAACGTGACACAGCCACAGCACTGCCATTTGCTTTTCAAATAAAACATCACTGGGCGAAGTGAAGGGCAATAGCAACTATTTTTATTAAATTCCTCCTATTGCTTTTTTTGTACTTTCAACACCCCATCGATCTTTGTATTACAACAAACTGCGTGCCTACAACTGTACTGACAGGCAAGTTAATTTTTCTTCTATCCAGAGAAAATCTGTAACTTTGAGAACAGTTAAACAAACAAGTGCTTAGCTATACTGGAACTTGGAGTTTCCATTTCTCTGCCACAGCTTGCTCAGACAGATCCAGCTGTTGCAACAGCACTGGATGAACGTGAGCTGCAGCAACGGTTATAGTGCAGCTAGAGCAATGTTTGCCTCCAGAGATGCTCATTCTCCAAATATACACAGAATCACAGAATCTTCAGAGCAGGAAGGGACCTTTAATTAATACACAGTCTGTGTGTGTGTGTATATATATATATATATATGAGTGGTATTTGTATTTTGTGAAACAAAATAAATTGCAGTAGTCTGCATTTTACCTATTTGCCATCTGAGTGCAAAGTTGGCATCAAAAAAGAAAAAACAGAAAAACGACTTTATATAAATCGAGTGATGCCTGTGGTTGTCTTCTCAGCCATCCCAAGAAAAGCTCCTGAACGCGCCCTACTTTGAAAAGCCAGGATATAAAAGTATACAAGGCCCATTGTCCAAGAAAGAATTTAAAAGCAACACGCGTTGCCAAACTGCGCTCCCCACCCAGTTACCAAACACAGGATACAAGTCAGTTTGTTTACTTCTCACAATTGAATGCATACAAAAAAGGTCTCAGTGCAGTCCTGTTGTCAGGTCAGTAGTCAGTGTTAAAATGCTGAAATAGCCTGATAAAACTCGCATTTTTGGTCCCCTCCCTGAAGCTGCTGTCAAAGGTCTGTTTTCCTTTCTTCGGTCCCTCCCTACAGCCTAACATAAACTGTCACAACCGCTGAGGAACACAGCCGTGCCCAGGAGACGTCCTGCACAGCCGGGCCTGGGGGCAGTGCTGTGGCCACGAGCCCCCCAGGTTGGGCCCCCTCCAGTGCGGGGCTGCGGGCACAGGGTGTGTAGGCCTCCTTCTGGGATGGGGCAGCAGCGCCAGCCGTGCATGCCATGATACAGAATGACATAGGTTGGTAGACTTGCTCCATCTGTCAGCGTACAAAGCCGCACCATGTCCGCACTGCGGCCACCAGGCCACACGATGCACTCTGTGACCCACTGTCATCTTGCGTTAAAAAAAAAAAAAAAAAAAATCCTCACTCGCATGCTAATTCAGCCAGAATAACCTCCTCCACGCAGGAGAAATGGGGCCAAGCAAGCCTGCTCTGGAAACGGGCCTCTGCTGAAACCCTCAGCAAAAAAAGGAGCCTAGAAAAAGCTGGAGAGACTCAGGCCCCTTGTTCTGCTCCCCACTATCATGTTAAATTGCTCTTCTTAGAACAGGAAGGAGTCTTTTCTTATTGTTACTTTCGATAGTGTAATATCAGAAGTGCGACCGCAGTAAACCAGTGTGTTAGATATTGAAATGCCATCACATTGTCTAACTTGCCTTCTCGTCTTTTTTAACACAAAGTATTTTTTCTTCAAGCTCCAAGCCCTCATCTTTGTGTCTGAGATGCTCTCCTGTCTGACAACAGCAATTTAGAAGAGTTAACTTTTATCGTTCATTCTGCTGTGTAACTTTCCCCTTCAAATTTCTTTATCTGCCCTCTGAGCTCATCTGAACTTTCATGTTCTCCCAGCATGCAGGCTTGCATTCAAAACTATGTCTAATAGACCAAATAAGAGGTTAATAAGAAGTGGCAACAGAAAGAAAAAATACAATCCCTGGTAACTGATAAGAATGACAGTGGCAGCCCTTTATTGTTTGTCTTCAAATATAGAGTTAAAGATCTTTAAAAAACTAAATTTTGACGCCTTTGAAAAGAAAGAAGCACAAAATAACAACAGGGGGTTATTGCCTGCCAGCCACAGGGGAGAAGCTCCATAATTCTTATTCTCCCTTTTGAAGGCTGTTAGAAATCTGATTCAAAAAAGCAACAGCAGAAGGAGAAAGCCTCTTGAGGCTATCGCCATTTCCTGTGATCATGCATAATGCGTTTCAAAAGTGGGTTTTTACCAATTCTGTTGATCAATTGCACCTCCTTCATATTCCCTCTTTTTTCTGCTGTGTTTACATCTGATGTGACTCAATGACAAGCGCTGTCTGAGACTGTGAAACAGACCTGTCATGTTGATTTATGGGCGCATCAAACCACGACTTGTCCAAACTGAAGCTCGCAGTTCATTAATTAGAGAGTTGTGACTTTGAAGTCAGCTTTCAGACTGTGGTTTTTAACATTTGGCTTAATTTATATGCTCTTGAATGTGGATCTCTAAGGAAAAAACTGAAATTCCCTTCTTGTCTTTGAACTTCTTTTGACCGCACAATAATCATTTCTTTGTCCAGAGTGATGCCTGCATCCCAGAGTCATTAACGCGCATTGAACTGCCACTGATGAGTAAGCCCTACTGAATTAGAAAAACAGCCAGCAAAACAAAGCTGAGAGCATTCTGCACAGTGATATCTCACAATTACATGCCTTCCCTCCCTGTGCCATTTCCATTTTAATTACTGTTAGTCCTTTAGATTTACATTTTAGACACTTTTTAATCTGTTCCCTTTTTATTATAGAGGCGCCCGTAAGCGCGCTATGGCTAAGGTTGTGTCAGCGTTTTCATTATAAACCCCCTGTTTTCAGGGCTTTATAACTCAGCTGGAAAAATTCGCTCCGGGTTGAAACTTGGCACAGGTGGCATGATCCACCAAAATTTGGGAGGGTGAGAAACTGGCATGTGCTTCGAGCACCATGATCGGCAACGGAACCACTGCTGCTATCAGTGGGCATCACACAGCATCTCATGCCAACAGGCAGCTTTCTAGGACCTACACTGGTCAGTGGTGATGTCAGGTGGAAGTCTCAAACTCCTTGGGACTACAGATACCAGTGTGGTACCTTCACATGCTACTATAGCAAAACTGAATTTTAGCACACCAAAATCAACAGTGAGATGCTCAGAAAGGAGAAGTATGCACACATACACACAGAAAACCACCTTCGCCATCCTGTTCCCAGCATGGACCATGGTGGCATCACCTGTGCAAGGTCTCGAGACATCGTTGCAGTTCCCAGGCACAACACACTGCAGTGAGATAGCATTCCTGTCCTACCTCAGCATTTCAGCTCTTGTTGCTCACAACAAACACTGCCTGAGCATGGTACCCTCTGCTGAGCCCATGCTGCAAGGAGCCTGCAGCCAGAACCTCTCCAGCTGAAAACTGCAAGTTCAAACTCAAAATCTCATTGAACTCTCTGCCTGGAGAGAATAGCCCCATAGCTAGGCCTGCTTCTTTGCCCCCTCCCCTCTACAACATAACTAACTTCCAAAAGCACTCTCCCAAGATACAAGTCCAGATGCTTGCTCCAGTACTCATACTGAACATCAAGGCGTGCTCCCCAGCTATAAAATATGTGGCAGCAAGCAAATGGAAAGCACAGGAAAATACAGGCGAAAACAGGACAATAACTCTAAATCTGAAAGCTGAGACCCGATAGAGTCAGTTCAGTTGTGCCATCATTTATAAGATGAATGACAGCTTAATAGCCACTAGACAGTCCTCTGGGATCTGTGGTTTGAAAGTAAAATGGGTATTGTCTGTACCTCTTTAGGCTGTTTTCCAGCATGTTGTTGCTGTAAAAGTTGAAGCTGCAACTGTTCCTGTTGTTTCTTATAAAACTCTTGAAGCTGCTGCTACAAAGAAAAGGAAAGATGGTAAGTAACAAAGTGGAGAGCCAATTCAGTGTCCCTTTTGGTGTAACACACAAACTGTGATTTGAAAAATAGCATCCTTTTATCTGTAATGGTCTGACCTTTAGTTTGAAACTCGACAATAAATTCAGTGCACACTGACTATTCTTGGCATTATCGTTTGAAAAGTAATCTCCAAAATGAACTGATGAAAAACATACCATTTTCTACACAAACTAATTAAAATAAGGCAAGGAATGACCTTTGATTGTAACAACAAAGCCAAAATGCCCTTGCTGAGAGAGCCTGGCGAATCTCTGTTGTGAAACACACATGCTTTCTAAATGATAGGGTTTGACTATATTAAGTGTTGTTCAATACATGCACAGACATTCTGGGAAACACTCTCCACCTCCCTGCTTCAGCCACACAACGCACACGCTGCACTGTGGGATGAAGGCAGAGGGGAGGGGACACACAAGGTGCAGTGTGGTGGGTGCTCTTGCCAGCCTGACTCATGAGCCCGGGCTGACGTGAACTCCACAGTAACCCAGGGACAGCAGACAACTTTCAGCTGAGAAAAGGCCATGCACTAATGCAGGACACAAAGAAACAGCAATGCACCGTGCACTGCATGTTGGCTGAAATTAAATGGACTAAGGCTTGCAAACCTCTTCACTTTCACTGTTTCAACGGCCCTTTAAGGTCCCACATGGACACAGCAAGGTCTAAAATGGGAAGTATTACCCTACTACTTCATTTATTCCAATTAATCAGGGCACGCCGTACTTTTGGAGGGATGCAGGCAAAATCAACAGGGACATCTGCTGAAGTCCTGACACTTAAATATGCAGCTGTATTATTTAGCTGATCTTGGAAACGCTCCTAGCACTGCTCCCTGGATTTGTTTCCAGTAGCTATTTCTAGAACTAAAAACAAAAGAGCAGTCGGTTCATCTCAGAGCGTGGCTGCCCTGCAGTACAGACCCTGAGACGTGGGCAGCTGCCTTCCTCAGAGGGCAACGAGGCAAAGCCCCCCACCCAACAGGGGCTGCGAAGACAACAATTACCTGTTGAAGCATGAGTGCCTGCTGCTGCTGGAGCAGGACTTGGAGTTGCTGGGGAGTTAGCACTTGTTGCTGGAGGATCTGCTGCATTTGCTGGGGAGTGATCACTTGAGGTGTCATCATAGCCACCGACACGGGAACCTGTGGGGGACACAGAATGGTGGTCAGGGAGCATCACAGCGGGAGGCACAACCCTGCCCTGAGCACAGAGGGACCCACGCTTCCCCAGCCACCCAGCTTCCTCTCCGCAGAGCATCATGGCAATGGGAATTCTTTAGACAGCAATACAGCAAAACCTGTTAAGATTTATTTATTTTTACAGGGAACTGTCAGCTCAGAGCATTCCCTCCCAGAAAGCCCCTCCCTGCCGTACAGAAATTCAAGAGCCGAGTATCCCGTGCTGATGGGATCTAGGCCCTATTACGACAGGTTTTTAAGAAAATTGAAGGAAGGCTCAGTGATGTGAATAACAGCGCTACACTCCTATGCAATTTTAACAGAAAGGCCCTACTGCGATGTCTTTACCATTCCATATTCACCCAGCATACAGATGTCTTCAATTCTTTCATATTATGTGAGATACCATTAAAAGCCGCTTTCCATGACATTTCAGTGACAAACAGCTACAGTGATGAACTTGATAGCATTTCATATTTGCAACTGTTAACACGTTTCTGCACGGGCATCTTTGCAAGGAACCTGTACACTGTATCTGAAAGGATGATGTCTTGTTCAGATAAAACACTGACATTAAAATGACAGGCTGTCTTGGCCAAGGTTACACAAATTGTATTCAAGCGGATACCTAATGACAATGCTATGAATTCTGCAAGCTTTCTAGAATGTAATTTAGCTATTCAAAATAATCACTGCACTTGTGTTTAATTTGCAGACTACATGAGAACCATTTTGTCAGTCCTAGTAATGCAAGAAGACTATTTCCCCAGAAACCCACCCCTCTATCCTCCACCCCAAAAAAGGAAAAGAAAAGGAAGAAAAAAAACAATAGAAGAAAAGACAAAACCCTGTGAGTTTTAACAGTAATATTTAAGCACCTTACTTTTCTATAGTTTCAGATCAAATACGTGACAGCACAAAACTAAAAGCAGTAAAGGATATACTTTGTTAAAAAGGATCTCCTGTCATCTCATGTATTACAATAAAAGGTAATAACATGTTTAGCACTTTTTCTGTGCACCACTTTTTAAAAAATCAGCAGACAATAGCTGATCTGAAGATAAAAGAGCTTAAAAAAAAATCTTCCAGGGTACCAGTAAGCAAGGGAGAAATGCAGTATTAATTTTATGTAACATAATGTCTTAATATGCAGTTTATCTTGACTTTTTCACATGATTTGTCCTGTCATTTGCATAGCAAGCTCTCATTCCTAATTTCACAGTCATTATGCACTGATGTCCTGATTTCTCAGCATCACTAATTTTGATGAACTAAAAATGGTTCCTGAAGGTCAGACTTACGTACGGCACACACCGCCCGGTGTTGTTGTGTACATGTCATGCGCCGGGGCCAGACCCTGCCTACAGAACGTGCTGCAGTCACATCCAGCAAACTGACATCCCATTAACGCGGAGCAGAGTGAATCCCCTGCGTCCCAGCACGGACCTCGTGCTGCCCACACTGGGGCAGGCAGGTGTGAAGGTTGAGGAGCAGACAGTGAAGGATGGGAAGCACTCGGTCCCTCTAAGACTGCATCCCTGGGAGAACCACCAACCTGGCAGTGCAGTACCACCGCCCCGAGCTGCGACAGCACCGACCTATTGGCACAGGGAATCCCATCAATTCAGAGGATCTGAATCCATATGCTGTTAAGAACTTTTCTGGGAGTAGAAAATTATTTCATTAAATGCTGTAGTCACTATCTTAGCCCCGAAGCCTGACTCACCTTCATTATTCCCATCCCCAGAGAACGATACCTTACCCTGGGGTTTGTACGACCTTACACTGAAGTTGGACTGAGCAAATAGAAAAGGAAGCATGTTTAAGTACGTTTTCTGTGCCATTCTTGGAAGATATACAACACAAATACTCCTCGGTCAGATTTATGACGACAAGCAGGGATACAGACAGGAATAGGGTGGGGTGCTGTAAACCCTACATGCGGGTGATTAATACGCAGGGCCACATTCTGCCAGCAGCTACGCGGAGACAACTCCCATTCACTTCCACAGCTCTTTTGCACATTTATCTCAGGACAGATCTCAGGATTCGGCCCTGCCTTTGAACGGCGGCCACGTACCTTCCGGTGAAGAATCTCCCAGCTGCTCACGCTCTGCTCAAACAGCAGCACTTAACAGGGAGGGAAGCAACGTGTCTGTGTGTATACAAACACTCACAAAGGTGTGAATCAACAAGGCCCACCTAGCAATACAGGTCTGCGTTGCTCTGCTCGACCTTGTTCTACCGGCTGAAACCACATCTTCACACCCTGCCCGTGGCTCCAAGAAGGTCCTGCCTCTCATTTGTCAGAGCAGGCAGCAGCTGCGCTTCCCCTGAACTCCAGCTCATGGTGGAAGCATCCTACAGAGCAAGGAAATTCAAATCACCCAGAAACCACTGTGTTAAAAATGACACGCGCCCCAGACAAGCGTGGGCACACTTACCGTTGGAGGCCTTTAAATAGTTAAGAATTATGGCCTATATATCCACTCTCTTAACTCCCAACGTCCAACTTTTTCATGTAGCTAGTCCCTAGTAATACTGGGAATCAAAGGGCATGCAGCTCCAGCAATAGGCTATTATAGCCCACACTTTATTACCCATTACTACCGAGGTCATTAGCGGTAAGAGTGATTGTACCGGTCTTAACCTATTGATCATTGTAACTACTATCATTTAATCCCGTGTTGAATGTCTGGAAAGCTGCTAAAGGCACACCAGAGAGAGTGCTTTAGCGATGAGAAATATAGCCAAAGCTTGGAAATTACACTTTGATTCATAAAATCTAGCCAGTGGTTTAAATCAATAGTATTTAAAACAGTCATGTAAGTTCTTAACTACAGCTCTCTAATATTTATGGGTCCCTTTTTGAGTGTATTCAGTCAAAACTAAGCTTTATTTTAGATACTGCGCAATATACTTCGCATTACGTTAGATAAAAAATATTTATTTCTGATATTTTGTCTGATAGTAAACGAAAGCTAAACTGAAGGCTATAAATTAATTGTAGATTTCTATCTCTCAGATGTCAACTTAAATGTGTTGCCAAAAAAAATTACAAACCAACTTTGAAAATGGCTTAAGTACATGAAAATGAGTGTGTTTTATGAGTTAACAATGAATCACAGAAGGCAGTTTATGAAGAACTAAAATAATTCCGTCTTACTGCCTTCAGGGAGTTGAAGTTCAAATTAAAGTACTGGCAGATGTATTTAAAGAATGCTAACTTAGCATGCAGGACAGAAATCAATCTTTCCTCCCCCCCCAGTTTATTTCTGTTTTTTACATGAAACACGATTGTTGTTATTGATATGATTAATGAACCACTTTTGGTATTGTTGACTGATAACAATAGGGTGTGGTAGATACCCAGCTGCATGTAAACCTGGCAGCAAAGGTGAAAATACAGCTGCAAGTCAGTTTTGGGAGCTGTGCTAGTACAGACCTGCTGACACGCTAATAGCAGCAACGGCAAAAAACGTCTTTAATACTCAAAATTGTTTTCAGCCACTCTCTGTCTCCCGGGTCCCTGTGCCACTGTTCCGCATCTCCCAAGCCTGCCTGTTCTCTCCCCACCCCGAGCTCTGCGTGCACAGCTTGGGGAACCTTGCACAACTTGGGCCAAGCTCGCCTTTAACTTCACCACGGACTACAGCCAGGGTGCATTTGTCACCGCCGCACACTGCTCAGACAAGTGTCACGGGGATGGAAGTGATTTAGACCCACTCCATCATCTACGTTCCCCCATTTTCTCTGGATATTAATATAATTAAATACTAGCCAAATAATTTCAAGAAGTTCAATCTTATATCGAGTGCAGGAAAAAAAAAAAAAAGGCATGCCATTTTCACACAACGTGCCTTCATTGCTGGGTGCGGTGGTGGCCTGGTCAGCTGCTAGCAGGCACGCGTGGAAGCTGGGGAGCATCTCCTCAATTCATAGAGAACAGCTCTGCCAGAAAATCCCCTTCTCCTGCGCTGTGTGCTCGCACTTGAATTCAGGAAGTCCTCAGAGCAGGCACCTTGCATTTCCAAACGGCAATTCTCCAGTTAAAGATTTTGTGGTAGAAGTGACACGGAGCAGAACGCAGCCCAACAGCGAGTGGCTGAGGAGCAGTTAAAGGTGTCGGACTGCCAGAAAACTAGACATGGCGAGGCGAACCCAAACAATTCCCTCAGCTGCTTTATTAGAAAGCTATTACGTGAGAGACTTCTTGCAATTTATAAAAAAAATTCTTGACCGAAAGAATGCAAAATAGCTGCACTCGTGTCACAGCAGAAGAGAAAGCACAGCCGTGCTGGCAGAGGAAAAGCTCGGTGCCACAAAGCAGAGCCCAGCAGCTCAGTGCTGAGCACAGGACCCTGAACCTGAAACCTCTGTGACATGAGACGTCAGCCTGCACATAACAGCCAAAAAACTCTGCTGATAGAATTGTGCAGGCAGGAGCTGCCATTCTGGTTCATTATGCAAAACGGAATCTCACTTTTAGACTCGGTTGTTCTGCCGTGATACTGCACAACACATTAGGACAGGTAATGTTTATTATATTAACGTGAAATCAGCTAAGTACTTCATCATTAGCATAACTGTTCTCTCCGTAACAATGCGACTCCCTGTTAAAAAAAAAAAAAAAGGGGGGGGGAAGCCTCTTTAAAATTAAATTAGCATTTCATTATTCTAATTTTGTTTATTATGTTTTATCAGGAGGGAAGATCTGCCTGCGACCCGCGGAAGGCAGCGCGATGGGCTGTCCTGGCACTGCCGGCACCTCAGGATCCCTGCTCTCCTCTCTGCTCTCTTCCAGCAACGGAAAATTGGGGATATTTTCATATTTGTTTACAGAATGAAACATCTGATCTTATCTACCACTTCTCATGCATACCGGGCTTCTCACTAAGTGCCAGGATAATTGTTTCTGCTATAATAAATACCCATTTAATTTGCATAAAAATATAAAGTTTACATAAATTAAATCCTCTCTACATCTAACATTTGTCAAATACAGACTAAACTGGAATGCACACAACCAAACACCCATTTAATAAACGGAGCAAGATTTCAACCTCGAGATTACCATCATCGTTTTTCACATTTTAGAAAGTTACCGCTTTTGTTTGCTGCTCCGTCACGAGAGGAAAAATCACAACCTGCAGTGCATGCCTCCTAGCAGTGGGCTCATTTTGCAACGGTTTAAAAACATTAAATAAATAAATAAATAAAACAGAAGGGGAAAAAAAAATCAGTTGTTTTGTTTTGTTTTTTTCCCCAAGAGTTTAGGAAATGTTAGCTCAGCACATTCTGCCACACTGCCCCGAAACAAACCAAAAGCAGCTCTGCTTAGAAACACCCAAAATACCCCTACAGCCCTCGAAAACCTTCAAAAGCTCCTCTCACCCCAGCACTGAGAACGATCACCCTGTCAGACTCCTTACATCTGCGTGCTCACTCACTAACACATCCAAGGAGAGCTTAATGGAACAAAAGAAGGCGGCGATGGAAGCAGCAGCACGGCTGTGGGGCACAGCCCGGTGCCAGGGCAGCCCGGCCCGGTGGGCAGCCAGCAGCTCCGGCAGCAGCTCCACTGCTCCCGCAGCTCCGTGCAGCGCTGCGAGGCTGTGCTGTGCCTGCCAGCAGAGCCTTGCTAACACTTGTAAACTTCACTCGCTCGAAACGCGCGTGTTTTCACACCTAGCGCAGGCACCTACGGCCGCACGGCGCAGCTGAGCGCAACGCTGCAAATTAGATTCTAATGAGAAAACATCAGTTGCTTCTCTGACAATCTTGCCATTCGCTGATTTACTTCTAATGAAGACGCACTCCGAGCGACGAGCTCGCCGTGTGAAAGGTCAGAACACGCTCAAAAAAACGCCTGGCAAAAATCAAGGCAAATGGGGAACCTGCAAAGAAGCCTTCTCATAACGCGGCGTGGCAATTAGAGTAATTGTGCAAAGAGCCGTCTTCGGGAAAAAGTACAAGAAATTAAGCTGCCACGACTGTAACAGGTTAGATGAAAATCAAAATTTAATGTATTCTCCCTTGTGTCATCTTGTTTTGTCAAGACATCAAATAGAATTGGAAAGTACAAAATAACAAGCCCTTGAGAAATCACAGAAGCCGACCTTTTTGATGTTGTTGGTTTACCTTGTTCTCAGTTATTTGAACAATGATGTTTCAGATTTAAGGGCAAGATAAAGCTTAAAAATTAAAACCCGTTGTCAGTTTGGGGAGGGGGCTGCTGTCCCTCCCAAATAACAGCATCTTACCTAATCACTGTGGGCAAATCCGTCCCAAACTACTGCGGGGAGCAATTAGCAGTGCCACTTATTTGTGCAACGCTCGCTCTGCTTCTTCTGCCATTCATTCTACCTCAGCACAAGCCCTACAGATCCTCCTTCTAGCAGAGGAAAATGTGCTGGAAAGGCAGAAAAGAAAAAAAAAAAAAGGAAAAGAAAAAAAAAAAAAAAGCTGGTGAAGGGAAGAGAGATTTGCCAGAGCTGCTGCTCTCCAAAATCTCTGCACAGCCTCAGCCCTGCACAGTGCATGATGCCTTTTTTCCCTCTGCTTGTAACTGGAAAGCGAAGCTGAGCAAGGAAGCACCTTACAAACACAGAACAGCACAGGACATTGTAACTGAACTGCAGCAAAGTAGTTTCCAGTAATGCAGTTCTGCTTTCAATAAAACAAACAAACTGCTTCCAAGCAGTCAAGCCTTCCACCAAACAATAACAAATTTAGCTCGCAGTGTCAGGACTTTCCCACCACCGAGTTCTGCAGGTGGTGACAGAACGAGCCCTGCTGCCGCTTCTGCCAACGAAGAGAGAAAGCTCAGCAGTGAGCAAGCTGTGTGCTGGGGGCACCGGGCTGCCTGCAGCACAGCACAGCCCTGCAGCACAGCACAGCCTTCGCCCTTACCTTGCCTCCAGCTGCCCAGGGCAGGCCACCACGAACACAGCCAGAGCACTTTATGCTGAAGCAGCAATTCATCGAGCTTCAGCGTTTTAGAAACAACGTGACTATTGAGCAGCACCAGTGCTTGAGAGCTCCAGGTTAGAACGCTGCCTAAGCCATCGCTCTAACCGCTCCACATCACTTCCAATGCCTAAAAACACCCTCTGATACACAGTACACAACTGTTGCAACCGTTTTCTCCTTTACAGGCGACTGAAATGAACTCAACCTGAGCACAGGGCAGAGCCTGGTGTCCAGCAGGGCACAGATCCAGCTGTGACCCTTCCAGCCAGGGCTGCTGCAGCGCGGGGCTCAGCCCAGTGCCGGAGCTGCACTGCCCGGCTGCTGCGCTGCCCCAGCTCCCCGTTAACCCACACTGCTCACTCATTCCTCCCCTGTCAATTCCATTTTATTTATTGCGTCTCCTCAGTTTGGCTCAGTGACTGGTCAGAGCACATCTCACAGCTTTGCCCCCTTTTTTATTTAAGCAAAAATCATGCTGTTTTAACAGGGAGGGCGCGATGGCACTGTTAGTGTATGTTAAACAAGAGGAAAAAAATAACAACTGTAGCAAACAAAAAAATTTCAAAGCAGCCCTTCCTATCACAAGCTTTCTGATGATTTATGGTTTACCAACTCAGCAAGGTTACGCAACGCTGCGTGCCTTTAGATGCATTATTTGAGTCAGTTGAGATTTAATTAAGATCACAGCCTCCAAAATCCCTGTCAAATGAAAATTCACAAAAGACAATGCACTATATATCCTCATGCAGATAGTCTCCATTCCACGCTCTGGAATAACATAAGTTAATCCTCGTTTCTATGGTGGCAGACAAAAGTTCACTAATTTTGTTTTCTTTTGACACTTGTGTTGTTTTCTGTTTTATGTCATGAGATCATTCCCTTTTGAGAAGGGTAGGGGAGCCGGTGCGGGGGGGGGCGAGCAGAGAGCAATATGTCTGAATATGGCAGCAGATGTATTTTGACATTCTCACAGCTCTGCCGTGATGTCATCAAGTTTTCATATAATTAACCCCTGCCAGCAAGAGCATTGTCGCATGACATCTGCCCACTGGGAAGAGGAGGAAGGAGTCAGGGACAAAACACGAGTGCCTCCATCTCGCCCAGACGCCAACCCCAACCTGCAGAACCCACCAGGGCTGCAGAGCTCACGCCTTCCCCGCAGCACCCCGCTCAGGGACCCCACATGCTGACCGCCTGCAACCCCATCCCCGAAAGGGAAACTGCCACAACTTTACCTCGTTCCGGGGTATTTCTAGTCGCGTTATCTTAATATCTGCTCGCTTATCTCATGGTTTAGAAATGACAGGTGCTAGCGGTCTTTTGTTTGACAGGCCACTACACAAATAACTGTCTTGCCTGAAAGGGCTAATGCACTACTAATGAACAATAAATCAACTTTGATTATAAAGTGTCAGACCAATCAGTTTGCAGTTCAGCTCCGTCACACTGCAGGCCGAGCAGCCCCTCGGTGCAGGCAGTGCGGGTGCCGGCCTGCAGCCCTGCCGACGGCAGCAGTGCTGGGAGCTGCACGCCCGCAGCTCGGCCCCTGACGGCCGTGTGCCCACGGGTCGGGAGCGGGCTGCCTCCCGAGCTGGGAAATCACAACTAATACGAGGCGTTTCTTAGCCCGGCAGCGGCACATTTAATGGTGTTTTCACACGAAAGCACGTTCAGCCCCTATTTTCTAAAAAGAGGGAAGCAAACAGAACTGTCGCTAACTTGCCACAAACAGCTCCGCGCAGGTCGGCCCGTCCCGCAGCTGCGCCAGCGCCGGGCACCGGCACGGAGCTCATCTGACCCCAGGGCCAACAGCCCGCCTACGGCACTTCTGATTAGAAACTTGGGCAATTTACTCCGCAACCCAACGCTCGCCGCTAGCACAAACGCGACCATTTCGTTTTCGTAAACACATCTGAGTCACCGCGAGTGATTCACACTTCCTGCCACCGAACTCGTTGTTGTTCCGAGCCCGCGCCGCCCCGCGCCGGGGCCGGCCGGCTCCGAAGGAGTTAAATGCGGAGAGGAAGAGTGTGCGTGCACTTTGCTCCGAACTCACCACCCACTTCCTCGGGGCTGCCTCCTCCCCGCTCCGCACCGCTCAGCCCCGCCGCTGCCCCGGCCGCGGAGGCGACGCGCGGGGCCGATCCCGGAGCGCTCGGAGCGCTGCGAGCACTTCTTCCAAAGTACGGCGCGCGCGGCGAGCTGCGCCAACCCCGAACGTCGGAACAAAAGAGGCGAGGAAAAAATAATTTGGGAAAAAGAGGAAAGTAAAAATAAGAAAAGCAACGCGCCCCGCCCGCTCACTTCGCAAAGCTCTCTCCCCCCCCAACCCGGGTCCCGCCGCAGCCCGAGCTCTCCTCCTCCTCCTCCTCCCGCAGCTCCCGCCTCGGTGCGGGCACGGCCGGGGCTCGCGCTCTCCCCGCGGGGCTCGGCACCCACCTGGGCTGAGGCGCCGGCGGCGGACGGGCCATGGAGCGGGCCGGGTCCGGGCGGCGCGGAGGCTCCGCGGGCGGAGTGGCGGCGCCGTGCTCGCGGGCTGCCGCGGAGCCCCGCCGCCCGCCGCCCCGCCCCGCGCCGCGCCGCCGCGCACACCCCGCCCCGGAACGGGGCACCCCGGGCGCGGCCCTCCTCCCTCGCGGCTCTCCGCGCCCTCTGACCTGCTGCCGGCTGTGCCGCTGCCGACGGTGCTGCCCGGCCCGGCCCGCGGGGAGCCGCCACGCTGCGCCGGGACGTGTTTAAAAGCGGCTCCCCCGGTCCCCCCCCCTAAATAAAGCTATTTTGTGGGGCGTGGGTGCCAGCAACGCGGGAGGGGGGGGGAAGTGGCAGCTAGCGCAGTGCTCCGAGCAGGCATTGCAAGCACGATGCGCTGGAGGAGCAGCTCTCCTTCCACCTAACTTTCTCTCAAAAAGTGGCTGTGACTCTCTCCAACGGTTCTGCTGCACAGTTTTAATGCCACAAAACCATAGCAGGACTTTAATACAAAACATGCTACCAAAAGCAGCCTCTGGCAGGAGCTTGCATTAAGCCCAGCTGATGCACCTGGCCTGCAAACAGGAACACCTTCCTTTGAGCCCCAGCAAAGCAGCAGGGAACCTAGCCCAGGGCACTGGGATGCCCAGAGCATTTTCTCCCATCGTCTCCCTTAAAAAAAGCTGGGCACTGGGATGCTCAGACTGGGGCACAGCACTCAGCAGCAGCCCCATCTGCCTGCCACATTTGGGGAAGGTTTGGGTACAGGGTGCATCATGTGCCACACAGCAAGCTTTCCTCTGCTTGACAGCTCAAAGCAATACTTTTCTCGCCCTCCACTCCAGATCTCAGTGCACACACAAAACCTGTCCTCGTGCCATTTCCAGCCCAGGGACTGCTGTCGACCCCGTCATGGATTTTCTCCTGCCCTACAGCTATGTGCCTCAGGCTGCATTATTTGGTCAAATCTTCCCTACTATTTCAATTTTATCTCGTATTTCACACAGCCTCTGAGCACACGGCTGATGCAGACGCTGCATGCACACGTAGCCGAATGCTGGCAGCCACACGGCCGCGGTCCCCAGGCAGCACGCACTTTATTTGCAGGAGTCAGGGGCTGATAGACAATAGCCCCATTAGCTATGCTGCTAAAGAACCTCACAAGAAGCAAAGACAAAGGACGCAATTTACTGACAACTTGTGATCTGATGGTAAATGGGATGTGATACGGATTGCTTTCCACCCTAAAGTGTTTTTGTGTCAGATAACAAATTTATTAATGGGATTTTTTTCAGGTCACAAAAATGTGACCCCACCCTCTTATGAATATTTAATAAGGGACTAAGGGCATCTTTTGCAAGACCCTAAATCTGCCAGCAGCAGCCTACATGAATCAGAGAGCGACGGCCTCTTAAAGGGGCACACGCACTGCAGGTCAGCGCATGGGGGCATGGGAGCAGCACGTATTTGAGGGCAGTACACAGCTGCACAGCCAGCAAAGTGCCACGCACACGTCCAACACACCGGGCAGCTAACAGCAATATACACTGGCATTGCATGGCATGAGCATGTAATTATTATTGCCTGCGCTGAAGAGAACCCCTCCTGTCCTGGACTTCAAAGTGATCCCCAGAAACTCTGATCCTGTTGAGGAACACATCGTGGAATGCATAGGCTTAAACCTCCCAGCTGTTTCTCCCTCAGACCACATCCCGCTGCCCAGTGCGGGTACCAGGAGCATCCCTGCAGCAGCACTGCCCACTGCTTGCATGGTGACGGAGGAATGGGAGCTGTGCTAACATGCACTGGGAGGGTTGGCAGTGCTCCCCAGTCCCTGCAGGCTGTGGTCATGGCGTCCTCCACAGCTTTCGTTTGGGAAAAAGCTCTGTCTTGGGGCTTCTTTAACAAAAAAGAGATGCTGCAAGGCTCACAACCCTGCCTGAAGCCTTTCTCTCCCTGCACGGGCAATACAAAGCATGACCTGGTGACACAAGCACAACACAGCCAGCTGGCCAGCCAGGCTGCGGCGTGACTCCGGCATCAGCAGCACTCCCAGCCTGGGTCCAGCCTCCCAGCGGTGACTGCTTGTGGGAACTGCCACTCTGTGTGCAGCCCCACTCCGTCCCACAGGCCCCAGTTCTGACAGCCCTTCCATTTCACACCTGCCTCAACTCCTTCGCCTCCTCACTGCCAAACAGGGATGGTGACACTGCTCATTTCAGGGTCTTCCATAGACCAGCATTTGCCAAACATTTGGAAAATGAAAGGTGCTGCCTAAGCACTGAGTGCTGCCCACAGAGCCTGCAAGCAGTATTTTTAAAGCATTTTATGCCCTTTCAGATAAAAGCTTCATACCTGCAAGCTCAGCCAACATCTGCTGAGAGCTAAAAACTTTGGTCTATTCCCTCAGTAACGGAGATGGTAGCACTTGCTAAGTAAGGTCACTATGAAATATAAAGCATTTCTAAGCCAGCAAATATTTTAAAAGACCAAGAAGAACCATAAACTCCCACTTTAATTCCATTCAATTACGGAGAGTCATCACAGACAGAGACAATCAGATTTGACATGGATGTCCGAAGCAGAAGACATAAAATAGCAAATTAAAAATAACAGGGAAGGAGCGTGGCAGACAAGGTGGCTATTGGGCTCTGTGTGCCCGCAAGATCAGATAGGCACTGAGTGGCAGCATCAACACCTGGGGAAAAAAATCACTGGAGCACAGCACAGACAGCAGGCTCCAAGGGCTGAGCCAGAGAAGTAGGTTACAAATGTGAAAAGATGAACGCATCAGCCCACGTGGAACACGGGGTGGGGAAGGGTCAGACTGAGAGCAAGCTGCTGTTGGCAGTTACAAGGGAAAAGGGCATTTCGGATACTATTCCCACTCCTGGATCCCCAGGCCCATTTTTGTGGGGTTAAATCACATTTTCCTGTTTTGAGACTGCTGCATTTTCCCTTGCTGCTGTTTGAAAGACCTATGAAAACAAATGGGGAAAACAACTGACTAAACAGGAAACAGTGAAACTTATTATCCAAAAAGCACTGAGAAAAAGTACAAAGTAAACATTTTTGGTCATTTTTAATAACCTTAGCTAATAGTCTCACGGTAAAATATTTCTCGTGGTAAAATACATTCGAGCAGAATAGTGACTTTTAGGCTGATGGTGTCTCTACTGATACAGAACACCAAAGCAATTAACATTTCAGTAATGTTTGTGTCCCTGTTGCGCTTTTCCTTTTTGTATGAGAAACTGTCATTTTCCTTATTGCCCTGCAAATTCTGCATGAAAAAGGCTCTTTAAATCCCCTCATCGTTGTACAATGGCTTAAATTTCACTTCATGGCATGCTTTAAATTACCACTCACATCTTCATTTAATGCATCATTTTATAATGCCAGTGTTACCAGTTAATTTATATATACACAGCAGGATGTGTCAACATTCAGGTGAGTTATGAATATGATTGTGCAGGAGTTATGGAAGACATTTCAGCAAAATTATGGTTCCCTCTAAACATAAAAATATTAATAATGAATCAAACACCACAGGTAAACAACCGATTGTATGTAGCTGCACCTCTTCATGCTTTGAGATAAATAAATAAAAACGGCAACATTTTTGCTCTGCGTTCGTATTTGATTGATCTTAATAAATTGCCACCTCCTTTCCTAATAAACTGTAATCTCTTGTTTCCGCCACAAAGTAAAATTTATTAGCACGCTCTCCTACCGCCAGGCCTGCATCACTCACAGCACAGTGTGCAAATTGTTCCAAGTATGCATGGGCATTATTCATAAATTATTTTTCTGCCCCAAAGTACACAATATATTGGAAGGCAATCACCGCTAACTGTTCTCTGTTACTTTCCTTAATTATGTGAGATAGCATTTATGTCACGCACAGCGGAGGAAATGCCGCAGTTTCCATTAAAGCTCTGCTTTTTGCCCTGGGTCGAAACACGGGGCTCACACACAGAGAACCACAGATTCCTTCTGATGAGAGGAAATACTGGAGGTGATATCTGGGAGGAGATGGCAACACCTCTGCCTTAAGAGATCAACCGCTGTATACCAAAATAACCTACTGGGCATGACAACAGCTATGGCTCCAAGAGGAGAAGTAGGTGTTTTGTCATGATGTTAAAGTTGCCATGGTAAGAAAAGAAACAGAACGCAACATCAACAAAACAAACGTCAATCACACGTGTGCCTGCAAAGTATTAACTCCTGAACAACCAGCCACACCAAGCAGATCCTGTGCCTGCTATGGGGCAGACACGGGATGGCACGCACAGTGACAGGGCACTGCCCCTCCTGGCCACCTCCCTCCCAGGGCCAGGGACTGCGACGCTCCTTCATCTCACCTGACAGCCCCCACGAGAGAACGTCCTTCTCAAAAACAGCCTTCTAAAAGTCACCCTTCCACACAACAGCCTTCTAAGAACCCATGCCTGCTTGCACAGCAAGGCGTGTACACACACCTGCACCCACACCTATATCACCGCAGATTTAAGTTAAAATAGATGTGATGCAATATGGGCCCCTTCAGTTAAAACGCCTGTCAGTCCATCGCACAGCTTACTCACATGCTGCTCAGGAGTGCCAAGCTATACATTGGGGCTTGCTGGTGGAAACAAGCATTACTGCTGGGCACCTTGCTGTTTTTCACTCCCTCTGTTGGGAAAGGATGCCGGCGTATTTTCAATAAAACACCTCCTTAGCAGTAATGGGCCACTGTTCTCCTTTCAGCGGTCCCTGAGGTTTCCTGATACAGTATATTTAGCTGGCTCATTGTTTGAGTTTTCCTCCATCATTGAAAGGTACTTTTATTTTTTTTTAGAAGGGAGATAAGGGCTTTTGCTCATCTTTTCCTTACAAAGTGAACTTTGCAGAAGCAACACGACAACTTGAGTTACTTCCTGCAGAGGTGTTCAGCCAACAGCCCTCAGGGTCAGACAGTCCCGGGATCCGGCAGCAGAATGATGGGCTGTCCTCACGTTCCACCACTGTGCTTCCAAAACGCCAAGGCCCAGCAGTGCAGCATGACTCCCACAGCTGGCAAGGAAAAAGCCTCTTGAGATGACTCCTGGTTACCCTATGGGACTGGCAAATGACCCAGACACTCCCTACAGTGCCCCACAGTGCCATGAACCTTGCCCATACCCCAATACATGGGGCCTGGTTTCAAGGGCATCATCCTCCCCTGCCCTACCCTCTCTCCCCAGGGTAGAGAGGGCTGCTGTCTGCAATTTGTGACTCACGGCCACTTCCTGCTCAGATCTGCTGCCGCAATCCCTTTCCCCCTCATCACAAAAAGGCTAAGGGGGCAGCGGGTGCCCAAAAAATCCATCTCCAGGAGCAAAACTGTGCTATTTACACTCGGTAAGGAGACTGCAATGCTCTGTCACTGAACACAGCCATGTCTGCAGTCCTCATGGCAGTGATTTGGCCACGAGAGGCTTTAAGGAATGCAGGACACCTGAGGCACCAAATCCTTCACTCCAATGGAACTGCGGGGTGATTAAGCAGAGAGAATGTAACTATCCAAACTGTAATTTGGCCAGCACAATGGATCTAACACCCTCATTCTTGGGAAGAAAAAGTACTGCATTTGAAGTTCAAACTCTAATTAACTATTTGAGAAAAATAATTCTGTTTTTAAAAGAAAATTCCTAACAATATAAAGAGAATTAGTGCCAAAGTTTTTGAAGAACCACATAAAATGGTATGAAAAACGTATGATATTGTAATAATAGGAATGACTGGATTTGCTCAAATGTTCCTTATACCTTATAATACAAGAATAAAATACAGTGTAAATCCTTCTATCTACATAAGTTCCCCGTACAGAAAAATCTCTTCTTTAATAGGTTTACACCTTTAACATGTATTAGTTTGGAAAAGTCCTACGGTATAATTACACATCTTGGCTTGGCACATTAATAGCTGTTCCCTTCATTTACCCATTTCTTTTGCTGGTCGATGTGCTGTTTTATTAGGCAGCTATCTTCACAGCAGAGCTGAGCTGGCAGGAGGGCAGGCCCAGAGCTGGGTTGTGAGGTTGGTACCGTGCTCTCAGCTGTATGCACACAGGATGCTCGCAGGGACACGCCATGTGCACACGTGCGTGCCAGCAAACCTCATCCCCATCCCCCCCACCTGGCATCCAACTGCTCCCTGCTGCTCTGTCCCACCTTCCCCACCTCTGTCCCGATGGAGCATCTGTGGCGAGATGCTCAGGTGGGTTGGGAACAAAACCTCAGCTCCCAGCCTTGCTCCACCGCTTAGCTTGGAAAGAGCCATTTCCATGCGGTAGAGTAGAAGAGATGCCCCCCATCATCTGCCATCCAGTCCCTGCAAGATCCCCTCAAGATTCACTTTGTACCTCTAAACACGGGGCTCAAAGGCGAGGCTGTGTTGGCTAAGGCTCCGTCCAGCTTTTATAGGGTTTTCAGCAGTTTAAGAGGGCTTTCTTGTGTTATAGCGGAGCCATTCATTTAATGGCTTTTCAGCACTGCCATTATAAACCAGAACTTTTCAGGTGTTTATTACTCAGCTTTAAAAATTGGCTCTATGCTGAAATTTGGCAAACAAAGTGTCAGCCTAGGAGAAAATTTCATTTTTTGCCAATTTTGTGCTCTAAAAAAAAAAAAAATGACCCCATTTTGGCCTCCATAAAAATGCAGCTTTTGCTGCCTCAGTGACACTGGTGAAGTAACAAGTCAATATTGTAATATTGCCAGCAGAACTGCAGTGATTTAATGCCTAAAACTGCTCCGAAGGTGAAGAGTGCTATTGAGCTGCTAATTATTAACTATTATTACTGGTCCTGCCACACAACAAAGCTGCAAAAAGAAAACGAAGGGAACGTGGAACGTCAATGAAAGAGGAGGCAAAGAGGGAGTGAGAGTCCAGTGCCAGCTGGAACCTGGATCTGGGAGTGTGGGCAGGGGAGGCTGCAGCCCATCTAAGGAGAGAACAGACTGATACGGAAAGATTATTCTTCATTTTCCAGAATGGCATTTCAAATACAACAAGAATACAATTGACACGGTGTAGCTTGCTGCCCGCCAAGGCTAGCAACCATGTAGCATCAAAATCAGCTTTAAGGCCAGCTGAGCTCAGGTCAGCAGGGACCTTGTGTTGCTCAGCTGGAGCAAAGAGAAATCTCAGCACTGATTTCAACACGTGTACAGCAGAGCCCTGGAGGCGCTGAGGATGAGAACCTTGCCCTGGCTTGGATTGCTGAGCTGGAGCAGCACCCACAGCATCCCCCAAACTCTGATCCACAGCATCATCCAAGATCTGATCCACAGCATCCCCCCAAATCTGATCGCTACCATCCACAAAACCTCAGAATCTTCCCAGCTATCTCCACCCCATGCTCCCACCCTCTCCACATTTCGCTCTCCAGGCACAGAGAGCTCCAAGCAGAGACGTAACACAGTGATTCTTCCATTTCGGGAGTGTCAGAGCAGCCCCGACAGGTCACTGGGGCCACCTTCAGACATGGTAAAATGAGAAATCCATTTATCTTTCTGGAAACTTTCTGCTTGTCTAAGTGGCAGCTATTTAAATACAATTAACAAGCAAATGATTTTAAAATTACAATACAATTAATAAGGCAGCATCACAAACAATTTACATCTCATTAAAGCTCTGCAAGCGGCAGAATCAGCTCCCAAATGAGCTGCACGATGAGGGGGGACCTGCACGACAGCCCCACCTCAAGATGGGTCGGGGGGGGCATCGGGGGCAGACAGGGCCCAGCAGCCCTGCAGGAGCTCCCCGGGTAAGGAAGGATGCCCCGAGCCAAAGCTGGGTGGAAGTGGGTGTAAAACAAGGAAGGAAGGAAGGAAAAGGGTGGGTGTGCGTGTGCATGTGGGATGGGCACTTTGCAATATACATTTGTGAACAAAGAGTTGAAAGAAATTTCAAGCTATTTACTCAGCTCTCTATATAATTAAGAGTTTGTAGATTACACCGCCACAAATCTTCCGAGATTGCTGTGGGATTGGACGCACGTTAATTCCCAGGAGCCTCTTGCAGAACAATCGCACGCCGCAGGAAACCACTCGCACAAGTAACAGTTCTACACGCTTCCAGCTCACTTTCAGCCCCTGCGATTGGCTGCGGTGGGTGCACTTCGCCCAGGGGATGCAGGAGACTGCAGCCTGGTGTGCACAACTCCTGGCTGAACGAGGCCAGCCCAATTCCAGCTGCTGGAAGGCTCGGAAGCTTTCAGGTCATCTCTGGAAAAGTGGCTTTTCACAGCCTGCCTGAAATGTCGGCACCTTCTGCTGGGAACTTCAGCTCCAAGCATGAGCTCTATCCCAGCGCCTGCTCCGAAGTACTTTATGAACTGAAAAAGCACAAACAATGCTCCCTCTAAAGTTCACCGCAAGTTTTGATGCAGCCTTTCAGTGCCCAACGCCCAGCAGCCCCCAGAGCTGTGTGTGACAGTTGTTTAACGCTGCGCAGCACACTTATACAACGCCGGCGGGAGAGAGCGAGAAAATAGTTTACAATTGAATCTGCAGAGGAAATTTGGGTAAGTTCAATGTAATTATCCATTTGGACGCGGGCCAAGGGCTGGGACAACTCAGAGCCATGAGGGAAGCTGCGCAGAGTGACCGGTTTTGCCCATCCTTTGCAAAGCAGCACGCCCTGAGCGCCCGACCCAGAGGCCGCATTGGGTGCCAGCAGCAAGGAGCATCCCCGGGATGCCCTGCTTGTCAAAACCAGATCCTATCAAAACGTAAAGCGTTCCAGTTTAAACAAAGATAAAATAGTTACGGCTGCTTTAGCAAACAGGTTTCAGGCGCTCCTCGTGCAGGCATGGAGGTTTTTTTCGCAGGACCTCTGTCCATGTTGGCCAACACTCCATCTCTGTAAGGAGCTGAAGACAAGTGTCAAAGCAAAACAGCCATCACTTTCTATGAATTACTGAACATGTGTAATTCATTTATCTGTAATATTGTGCTAAACTCAGCTCCAATTAAACAAATGAAAACACCTGCTTAGCACACATAGATCTTTCCATACCTCAGGGGAAGACACATCAGTGTGCTCTGTAGTACAATCTGGCTCATAAGCCTACACAAACAATGCAGAGCTGGGATTTCTTTTCATTTTTGTCTTTAAATGCACACAGGCAAGGAGATAAAAAAAATACAGTGAGGTTTTGAGAGAGGCGTGATTTTTTTTTTTTGTATTTCTATCTTCAACACACAGAGCTCCGTGCTATTTAACTGCTCGTGGGGGCAGGGTGAGGGCTGAGGACCCAAGGGCACGCATCTCCCCCAGGCACTGCTGGGATCCAATGACTTCACAATGCACAGAAGTTGAATTTCCTCGAGTTTTCAAGTTTGATGGCAAAGTGCAGAAGCAGAAAAAAGGACCTCCTACAGCTCTGAGGCAACAGTGACGAGAACCAAAAACATGCCCGTGCAATTCCTGTGCCATCCCATCCAAGGCAAAAAGTTGTGCACCATGTTGTTCTTGGTTTTTTTTGCAGCAAAATCACAGTTACAAACTGAAAGTGCTTCTGGTTTTTGTTTTGTTTTCCTTTCCCTCTTTTTTTTTTTTTTTTTTTTTTTAAGACAGGGTGGTCCCCTTCACTCACTGCAGAATTAGCAACACAACAGCAAAACAATTTTGCAGCTGTCACTGCAGCTCTGATGCGTCCACTGTGGGGCTCTCCCAGAAGAAATTGCTCTGTTTTTCTTCTTGGTAGACACAGCTGAGTGGAGAACTCAAAATGAACACATTTTCCAAGCAACAAGCTCAAGTAAAAAATAACAACGATGGAAGCCATAAACATACCTTCCCCTGTTCTGTCAGCTGCACACGATGGGATTTAGAACTACCTTAGCTGTGCTCTGCATTGTATTCATGCTCCGGGTCCAAAGAGAATCCCTCTATATTTGGGGGCTACTTCCCAAACCCCACAGCTGGGCTCTGGCCAAGGTGAGTCTTTGGGCCTCTCCTACCATCCCGAAGTCACTGCCATCCCTAAATTAGGGTGGGAGCAGCACCATCACCCTGGCAAAGCCGTAACCACACCGATCCACTGCTCACGGGCAGGAGGAACCCGCCCTGGTAGCACTCGATTTGGGCAGCACCCACACCTCCTCTAACAGAGCACAGAAACCTGAAATTAAAATAAACTGCTTAAAAGCCACAGGTATGGAGAGACGCAGGAGACCGAGTGCAACGGGACAATCCTTTAACCCGACCCACAAAGTACTCATTGTTCCAGGTTGAGACAAGCAACATAGCAATAAATATTGAGCAAAGGAAGTTAACCTGTATCCACAGCCTTTGAATAAACACAGAAGTTAAAAGTAAAATCAATGCAAGGCCCTTGGCTCTTGCCAACTGGTGCTTTACGCGCACTTGCTTGGCCGTGTTTTTACTTTTGGGGATTTTCTCTGCCTTCTTTCTTGATATTCATACTTTCCTTTGTAAACTCCTTATCGCACAACAGAAGGACAAACAGAAGGAGCTGCCAGCACACAATTACACGACACAACTGCTCTGCATTCAGCCAACCTGGGCGCGGATAACCAGGCAGGCACAGACCCAGCACAGCCGCACGGCACCAGGGCAGGGCAGTGCTCCATCCCTGCCAGCCACGCAGGCTTTCAGAGCATTAATTCCGACTCCACTTTTCAATCACACTATATTCATTTAAACGTTATTATACTCCGTGGAACCAAGTGCGAGCATCATGCAAAAAGTATTCTGGTCCACAGTGGTGAATACAGCTGTGTAGGCAGAGGGATATTTGTTTTCCAAGTAATTTGTGCACATTCACAAAATTACAGCTGTCTGCAGTTCTCCTGAAATATCTGCCCTGCTGTTTACAAGCCATAAAATATAATTTGTCTTTTGTAGGCTTCCAATTGGTAAATTTGGAAATATATATATACATATATATATATATATAAAAGAGCATTCATTTTTTTGCATTCAGGCTGGCTGCTCCCCGTTACACTGCACAGAAAGCCTGGAGAACACCAGCAGCAGCCCTGCGATGGCAGCAGACACACTGCTGCAGGCTGTCAGTCCCAGGGAACACTCCTCAACCCACAACAGCCTCGTCCCCAAAGAACACCACTCCAAACTGGGTGTGGAACAGCTTCAGGGCCAGGCTGTTCCTTCAGCCCCAATAGCACTGGGATGTGGCTGGGAGGGCCACCAGGATGCAGCACAGCCAGTGATACTGGTGACAACCCACAAGGCAGTCCTGGTGCATCCAGTCCTGCTATCAAAACCAGTGGGATCCAAAGATGAATGTGCGCTGTGGCTGGAAACCAAGAGGCTGGGCTGGTGTTATCTGAGCCATTAGGACTCAGTCAAAACGCTTCTACAGATTCTTTTTTTATTTCCAATGAAAGATTAGAAATGTCACACGAGGTGTTTCTGATTTTTGCCTCTTGCTTCATGATCACGTAGATCAACCTTCCACCCAGAACAATTGACTGCCTCAGTTCCCAAAATACACACCCAAAACATTAGCTCTCCTTTCATTGTGCCATAACAGGTGGCCCACTGGTGTGTCTGCCCAGTACCAACTGCGAACAACATTTCAGCCCCAAATCTCAATGAGCAACAAGTACACAGAGTGAAACATCCTGCCAAGAAGTCCCCGTGGGGCTGATGGCTACAGCTGCACAGAGCAGTGCAGATGACAATGGCACCAGTGGGTGACTTCGGTGTGAACCAAGCTGCAGGAATCCAAGCCCAGCTCGGTGGGATCCTCTGCTCCAGCACACACCCTGGTGGCTGTCATTTACCCCGGGACAAATCCAGCCACAGTTCTTTATCCCAGTGCTGCAACATGTCCGAGATGTCCAGCTGGGAGCACGGCTATGCTGCAAAGCTGACACCCAGGTATGCCACCCAGGTTAACAAGTTAAAGCACAGCAGGGTTTTGATTTCATACTGCTCAAAAAAATCCATGCTGTAAGTGACAGAGCCTCCAGACCCCTGTGCCATCTGACGTCCTCCTGGCGTCCTGCCTCCTCACCATCCCATTTCCAAACTTTTTCAGCGAGACTCACTAAACTCAGGATGTAGATTTTCCAATTAGTCTCTGTTTAAACATCTGTTGGTAGACTGCATTTAACATTAGTTATTTGAGCAAAGCACAATTTGATTAGGCTGTCTGAAACGGAGCCAAAGTCTGCAAAATAATAGCTCAATTAAATTTTGTTTTGCTTTCATTTGTCTTATACTTCCCTGAGTGTGATACAGTTGCATATAATCAAGTAAACTAATTCCTTTCAAAATGAGAGATTTCGGTGCCTTTTCCATCTTCCCTCAAAGTTTATTTAATAATCTATTCCATCTTCTCTATGCTTCATCGAACTTCATCTTGACATAAAGTACATTTCTTTCTTGTGCCTTCAGTCTACTTTAATTTTCTAGGCTTTGAGTGCGCTGAGATTATGCGCCATTACCGTTACACCTTAAATAGATCAGTAATTTATAAAGGGCACATTACATTTACTGGGAACATAAAAACATTTCAGCAACACAACAGTTTTTCCTTTGCACACACCACAAAATGTTTTGCCAACCTGATTACACAGCTGTAAAACTGTCAAGCTCCAAAGCCACATCCACGCACATTCCCAATTGTTTCGCCGGTTTTCCTTTCTACATTTCTACTTACTCTGTTATGTTGCACTTGTTGCCCTGAAACTTCAATACGAGCTCTAGAGATTTAAACACATGAGGTAAACAGCTGCTCTGCTCCGCTCACACAGGCTACATCAAATGCCTTCTCTCTTTTTCCCTCGCTTTTTTCTCAAAGTTGAATTGCTATAACTCAAGGATTTCTGGCCAAGCTGACGGTTTCGGGGCAGAATTTGCTCTGTGATCATCCCTGCAGATCACTGCAGCGTGTGCACGAGGAGCCCAGACAGCCTCACCACGCAGAGCAGGGAAACCTCACTGCAAGGATTAGGAAAATCACAGCAGCTCAGCTGGCACGTAGCTGTGTGTGTGACGTAAGCATCAGCACTGAGCACCGAGATGTGAACTTCTACACTCGTGTTACAACAGCAAAAAGCACACGTTCTTTGAGAGAGGAGATTCTGTTAACTTAGGAGAGTTCTGACCACCTGACTTTGTTTTGTGTTTGCTCTATCTGTTTGTGAGCACAAAGGTAGGAGCTGAGCTGACTGCTGGGCCCTGCTGTGCTCAGCACCACCACCATGCCGGGAAGCAGCTCCGGTCCACGGAGATTCACAGTGGGATTTGTCCTATTTAGAATGTAGAGAGCGACTAAATATGACAACCATCTGATATATGAAAATTATTCACAACCGAAAACAGACAGTCTGGAAATAGCTGGGATGACTTCATTTAGACAGAATTACCCAAATCTGTTTCTAATATACACAGTACACATAATAAATTTTTACAATATGACAAGGAAAACAAACTTAATAAAAGTTCCTGATCTTTTGTTACACAAGCAAGCTACGGCCACGATATGTTTATCATATTTTGCCCATGATCTCACAGCTTGGTAACCAGAGCGAAGCAGCATCCCCAGGTTCAGACCAGCGCCCCACGGCCGTGCCCGCAGCTCACGGCGGGGCACTTCTGGCTCCCGGCCTCCTCTCAGGCACCGTGCGATGCTGGGAGCTGCGCATTTCTATTATGAGACTTTGCTTTTTTCCAATTACGCCAGGACTCATCCCGGTAAGAGATTTTTAGCCTGTTTCCTTCACTCCTGGTTATTTGACAAGTGCTTGAAAACCCTGTTATAAACAATATCTGCGGGAAAACAGATGATGCCTTACGATCACAGAAGGTAGTTTTTTCGAGAAGCAAACTTTTCGAGCAGTTCCCAGATGCACCGCGTCAATCTCGCCGCTCTCCCATCTCAGCTGGTTCCCCGCCAGGCACGCTGCCAGCTTGGGCTGCCCCTCGTCGCCCCTTCTGCCCGTGGTACCCGTGCCCACGGCTGGCACGCTGTGCTGCGGCAGCTCTTCTAACCGCTGGACAGGCTCCAGCACCACGCACTAATAAGTTTCAGATTGGAGCGCTCAGAGTGTGCGTGCGCGTGTGCATGTGTGTGTGTGTGTGTGTCAGAGCTGTGCCACGGGTTGTAGGAGGGGAGGGGAAAAAAGAAAACAACAGTAGTTCAGAAATGCTGCCTGCTCAAATTGACAGCACAGTGACCTCTGCACTTCATCAGAAATTCCTGCAGACTTAGAAAATCAAGGAGGTTGCTTTTATCACACACAGTGAGACTCATATGGAAAAATGGAAACACTACATCACTTGACCTCAGGTTGCCCCCATTTCAACCGCAGATGAATATTGTGTATAAAAATTGTAAATCAATTTGATACGTATTAAAAGAGATTCTCGTTTTCTGTGTTAAAGGTAATACCTTTTAATCTCTAGATTTGTTTTGTAAAGTAAGCTAAATGAGGAAGGACTTCATTTCTATAACTGAGTTTTGTTACTCTTAGCCTATTTAGCATCTCTGCATGGTGTTCACATAATTTCCTACACTTTGCTTGCATCAGGAAATAATGAGCAAGCATCACTTACCCAACACTGAGTCACAAATATTTGCCTACATTAACAGAGCATTAAAAGCCATTTTAAACAACTTAAGGAAATCGCGTTAGCCTTTCAACTGTGATTCACTACCATGAGAAATTAAGGAAGTTTTCCACTTTTAAAGGCAAAAATCGTCTGCACAACCTCCTAGCAACTGCAGTGGGCCCACAAGCAGGCTCTCCTCTCACAGACCCCAGCACAAGAGATTTCTTCACTTAATGACATTACTTCTGAAATTTTCCTACACTGAGTGTTGGGCACTTGGAAATTTCAATCTTTTCACATCCTTGAACTCTCATCAACATTTTTTTTTCCAGACTGCGTCAATAAAATTGATTACTTGCAGTTCTGAATTCTGTTCTGCACATGGAAATAAAACAATTTGTTTTAAAGTATTTTCTGAAGAAAGCAGAACTTGGCAATCAGACCTACAAGATCAAAAAAGCACACCGAGGGAAAGAAAATAAAAGGACCAACCAACCACCAGAGCCCTCCTCACGGAAAGCCAAACAAAAGCAGAATGTCTCCAGCACACAGCAGGGAAGCAGCAGCGCGATGCCATCAGGGTGGTGTGGCCAAATTGCTGATGCCCACCGCCAGCCTCAGCGCCTGGCAGATACACCTCCTGGTAGGACCCGAATGATCTTTTCAGATAATTAATATGTTCATTAATTTGTTATCAATTCTAACCCGCTGTCCTTACGCCTCTCCGTACCGTGGCACAAAAGTGCCCTGACAGCTCTGCTGCAATCACGCCTAAGGACCCCTGACTAAACAGTTGTTGAGAAGCCTCATACCTACAGCCAATCTGTTGCTTTTACAAGTTTAATCTAGGTATTAAGGAGCTGATTGTGGAACCATGTCGATATAACATCTTCAACCCAGCTGTACATCATATAAACCGCGATAGGAGGGGGCAGCTCCCATGATTCCTCGCAATAGTGCCTACCTTTAACTCTCCGATCTGTAATACTACAAAATACTGCTCTCATTTTTTTCCCAAGCACAAGTGGACTACCAGCAAGGGTCCAACAGTGTTATTCCTAATTACCTTTTTTTCACTCTTGATCCTGTGGCGCTCATAATTAGTTACCTGGGGCTGCAATCCAATTTGAAGTGATGACAAGAAAGTGATCCATGAAAAAGTAATAAGTTAAATCCAATTTCAGCCTTCCTCTAATTAAATGCACATGGAACTAATGACTCAAACCCTACCATTTCAGTGATAATGGTAATTAGCGAGGTGGGAGTCACTCTCTTTTTGCAACACCGTAGGTGTAAACCACAAGGTAAAATGGC